AGAAATAGATATATGTAAACAACCTTGTAAGGTTTGTAATAGATAAAGTTATGGCCCAGGAGTCAGGAAAACCTGAGTTCAAATCCATCCACAGACACTATCTCTGTGACCCTGGGCAAATCACATAACTTCTATCTTACTCAGTTTTCTCATCTATAAAATGGGAGGAATAATAGCGCCTACCTCCTAGGATTGTTGTGAGGATAAAATTGGATAAAATTTGTAAAGCACTTTGCAAACTCTAAGGCACTGTGTAAATGCTAGCTGTTATTTTCTACATGAGAAAACTGAGGTTAAGAGAGTTCCAGGGATATTTGCCCAAGGTAAAGTTAGGATGAGTTGAGGCCAGGATTCCTAGCAATCTTCATGCTCTTTCCACTCTACAGCAAAGATCATGTTTTCCAATTGAGCTCCATGCTTCCTCTGCTCATTTCCTCTGTTAAGTTTGCACAAAAAAAACAAAGACGATTAGTACAAACTACTGGCGCTCCAGTGGTAGTGAACAAAGGGCCCTTCACCTTTCTCTCGTCCTGCCCATCCATGCCGTCCATTCCCCATCTTCTTTTTCCTTCAACGTGGCTCTAAAGCCGGAGCCGGATAGGAAATTCGGTGAGACTTCACACAATTTCCTATTCCAGGGCACTCATGGCAAACTGCTGCAGAAAAGCCACCTGAGCATTCAACTTGATCCCAATTTCTTCACTTTGAGTGGGATTAGCATCTTATTCCACCTTCCAAATAGCTGCCATTGAAGAAGGTAAAGCTGAAATACAATTAATGACACCTTTTCTTAGAATCCTAAGAGTCTTAGAACAGATTGAAGAGGGATTTCTACATGTGGACCATCTGTCACATAAAAATAGAGTTTAGAGTGGGAAAAGGCTCCTTTACCTCATGTTAAATTAAAATAGCATATGAAAGGGGCTTTTATGAATTTGCTATTGAGTCATTTCAGTTGTATCTGACTCTTCATAGCCCCATTTGGGGTTTTCTGGGCAAAGATACTGGAGTGGTTTGCCATTTCCTTCTCCAGCTCATTTTACAGATGAGGAAACTGAGGCAAACAGGGGCAAGTGACTTGTCCAGGGTCATACATGTAGTAAGTGTATGAGGTCACATTTGAACTCAGGAAGATAAGTCTTCCTGACTTCAGGTCCAACACTGTGTACTATGGCACCACCTACCTCCTCATGAATACACAAAGGTGACCATGAACTGGGATATTAGCCAGTTCCCCTGGAGAGTATTGCAACCCAAAGTCCCTTTGTCACGTCAAGAAGGATGTACTTGTTTGTTTGGGTTTTTTTTCCCCTCTGACCTCACATGGTTTGCTCATTAAGAAAGAGGAGGAGGACTAGGAGACAGAGGATTGGATAAACTTATCGGCGTTACATATTCTATTAGAATTATCACCAAGAAATATGGTTGAATTTCCCCTGGAATGGAAGGATAGTGTAGGGATAGGGTTACCTGCTCTGAGCATCGTTAGGGCACCACCTGCCTTCTAGAGCAGAGTGGGGAGCAGCTCTATCCCACTTGAAGAATGTGTTAGGCATGAGAGCAGTGAGGTATGGTAGAAAAGGCAGGGAACCTGGAGTCAGGAGAGGCCTGGCCTCCCATCCTACCTCTCGTCCAGCAACAGGTGGCCAAGTTACTTAGTGGGAGTCTTCATTTCCTTCTATGTAAATTAGAGATAATTATAGAGATTGATAGTACTCATCCCACTTGTATGAACCAAATAAGATGGCATTTCTAAAGCAGACCTTACCATGCTATTTAAATACCAGTTATTATTATAACACATAACAGAGTCATGGGATTTGGAGCTGAAAGAGAACTAGATCCGTCCATTCCAAGCCTCTTATTTAATGTATGAGGACACTAAAATGCGTGGTCAGGACCACTGGATTGGACCAATGTTCTCTAGCTCCGATTATATAGCAGGCTGTGATTTACAAAATGGGTTTCCTTGCAGCAACCCCGTGAAGCAGAGCAAATGCCATTATCCCCATTGTACAGATAGGGAAACTGAGATAGGGAAAATTAATGTGAGTCATACAACTCATAGGAGTCAAAGCCAAGACGTAGACGGATCATAGATCTACAGCTGGAAGAGCCCTCAAAGGACATTGAGTCAAAACCCCTTATTTTACAGATGAGGAAACTAAGGCAAACAGGGTGAAGTGACTTGTCTGGGGTCACACAGGTGGTTAGTAGCAGACCTAGAATCTAAACCCAGGTCCTCTGACGGCAAATACAGCGCACTTCCCACTGTACCATGAAAAGGGTGCTCTGATAGGTTCAATACAATCAGTATATAAGATTTCCTGGAGATGACACAAGGCCCATCATTTCTAAACTTCATGCCTACCAAGCATCCTTTGCATCTTAAGCGAGCGCCCTTCTCAGACAATTTGGTCAGAGACCACTGCACCCTTTAGGAACAGGAAGATTGTTGCTCTTTATATCGGTTTGTTTCTAACCACAAAATAATAAATAGGCAGATGGGTCTCTAAATCAATATACTACTGATTTATCTCGAATCATTCTCAACCTGCACTACATAATATTAATATCAATTAGCCATATTAATATTGTTCAGTCATGTCCAACTCTTTATAACCATAGCATCCATAGGGTTTTCTTGGCAAAGATGCTGGAGTGGTTTGCCATTTCCTTCTCTGGTGGACTAAGGCAGACAGAGGTTAATTGACTTGCCCAGGGTCACACAGCTAGTAAGTGTCTGAGGTCAAATTTGAACTCAGGTCTTCCTGACTCCCGGCACTACTAGTGCTCTATCCACTGGACCACCTAACTGCTTCATATTAATGTGGTTAATATTTAATCTTTCAAACAACTAATACATACATTTTCTTGGGGGAGGGGAGGGACGAGGAAGTGGCAATCGGGGTTAAGTGACTTGTCCAGGGTCACACAGCTAGTAAGTGTCTGATATCATATTTGAACTCAGGTCTTCCTGACTGCAGGCCTAGCACTCTATCCACTGAGCCACCTAGCTACCTCATATCGATGTGGCTAACATTAAATCTTTCAAAAACTAACATAAATTTTCGGGGGGGGGGTAGGGAAGAGGCAATGGCAAGTAAGTGACTTGCCCAAGGTCACACAGCTAATAAGTGTCTGAGGCCAGCTTTGAACTCAGGTCCTCCTGACTCCAGGCCATATGCTCTATCCACTGAGCCACTTAGCTGCCCCTAATATAAATTTTTAATGTCATATTCACTAATCTTTCACCATCATAAATTTACCATTGTTGGCACTTTGGGTCTGTTAATGAGACACATCTTAGACAGGTAAGAAGAAAATTTTCCTTTCTCTCTAAAAGATTTGACATGACCTAAACCTCTCTCATGTTAAGATCAGATGGCTTGTGTTGGTGCTAAGGAGACCTGACCGTTAGCTGTATAACACCTAGTTACAACAGTTAGCTAGTTTTCAGCCTGGGGACAATAGAATGGCCCTTAAATATCACAGGTTTTCCTCCTCTTCAGGTTTAGGGAGTTTATTTTAGACTAAAGGTTATTCAGTTGCAGTCGCTCCAAACATCCAGCCAGGAAAACGCTTAACCTTTAGGCAGAGTTTGGGCTCTCTTCTTAACTTTACATTTAGTTCTATCTCTAGTTAATCTCTGGTCTCTTTTTAGTTGAAGCAAAATTCAGTTTACCGGAGACATTTAGGGAAGGAAATTGCAGATGATATTGCAGCACCTGGGCAATGGGAGAGGAAGTTCAGCAAAGAACCAGCCTTTTCTTTTGAGTCTTTTGTTCTGAGATGTTGATAGAACTGATGACCCGTGCAGATATCTCCCTTCTGTGACATAGCTCGATTTTACCTTTGCTCCTCAGGAGTATGCTAGAATATCTCCTTTGCTCTGGCCTCTTGAATGAATCTCTTCTCAACTTAACTGATTTGCAGATGACCCCTGAGGCATAACCAAATGTCCCTGGGCTATCCAAACACAATGCTTGGACATCATCATTCCAGTTCTGAGGACTTTTCATATTTAGCCTAAGGTCTATGATAAAAATTAACTGATCCAATAGCACTGCTTAGATTGAGGTGGCGATGAATCAATCATTCTTTTCACCCTTTTAGCTGTAACAAAAGCACTCATATTTTCCTTTCCCAAGGCCTCTTACTGAGCCCTTCTTTACCTTTATTTCTTGTACCTTCTTCCAAAAGATATCAGGTCTGAGATCTTATAAAATTCTGCTCATGTGTAAGCTCTCATAAAAACTTTGATTCTGCAAGATGGTCAAATATTCTCTCTCTCTTTCTCCCCCCTCTCTCCCTCATCTCCTTTCTTTTTCTCTCCTCTCTTTCTCTTCTCTTTTTCTTGCTTTCTCTTTCTCCTCTCTCTTTCTACCTTTGTCTCTTTCTGTTTCTCTCTTCTCCCCCTTTCTCTCTCTGTCTTTCTCTCCTCTCTCTTTTTCTTTGTCTCTTCTTGTCTCTCTCTCTCTGTCTCTCTGTTGCTCTGTCTCTCTATCTCTGTCTCTCTCTCTCTCTCTCTCTCTCTGAATCAATGTCTCTGTCTCTCTCTTTCTCCCTGGCTTTCTCCCCACTTCCTCCTTCAGTATGGTGTAACAGCAGAAGTACAGGAGTACTCTCTTGAGTCAGGAGACCCATTATTCCAAGCCCAGCTTTGCCTCTTCCTTGCTGTGTAACCCAAGACAAATTTCCTAAGCTTCACCTTCAGATGAACTCACTGGACCAAGTGATGGCCAGAGTGCCCTCCAGCTCCTGGGTTCCACATCTGCTATTACTCTTGGCTCGGAGCTGTTCAAAGTTACTCTGGGCTCACTACCTCATAAGATCCATACTGATGTATTCATAAGGAAAGACCTGTTTTGCTATAAGATCCAATATTCGAGAAAGCAAATAGAACATCGATGTTAATAGGGAAGTAGATTTTGTCTCAGAGAATATAATCGATAATGGTTCTGGTGGGAAGTCTGTATGTCTGCAGTGCTGGAGCTTACCCATTATGAAAGGGATATTTCCATGTATTGTTTCCCACAAAACATTTAGGCCCCCTATTAATAGCAACCACAGAGATGACGAATGCATATGAAGCTCCTATAATGCCAGTGCCAGCAGATATGATGGTGCTAAATATCTGAAAAAGAGAAAGAAAAAAGAAAGAAGTTATTTTTCCCTCCATTGAGAGGGTATAACTTCACAAAAATCAGACAGTCAAGGCAACCTTTCTGATGCTAGAGTGATTGCCCCTCTTCCAGGCTTGTAAAGTGTCTTCATTACAATAAGCACACAAAGACAGGAATGTAAATACAGATATAGAACAGCTGGTGACACAGTGGATAGAAATAGAAATGGAAAATAACAGCACCCACCTTGATTGAAGGAGATCATTTCTGTAAAATGTGCTTAGCACAGTGCCTGATACACCTTGTGCGCTAGATAAGTGCCTATTTCCTAAATATTATTATCCCCAATTTACAGATTATGAAATTGAGACTGAGAGGTTATATGGCTTCCCAGGAAGCCATTGGATTATGTTCTAGGCACTCTCCCAGGCCACCTAAATGCTACAATAGCCAGCTTGTCCCCACCCGGGCCTCCCCATCCCCACTTTCCAGCCTTCATCTCTATGCCAATTATTCTCAGGTTTATTTGCGCCATCTTAACCTCTCTCCAGAACTCCAGTTTCACATCTCCAATAACCTATTGGATATTGGAGGAACTATATTTTTCATAGACACCTTAATCTCAACATGTCCAAAGATGAACTCATTGTCTTTCCCCCAGAAATTTCCCCATTACTGTCAAGTAAAACCCCCACTTCTCTCAGTCAGCCATGACTATCATCGTTGACTCCTCCCCCTCACTCACCCTCCATATCCGATCATTTGTCACATCCTGTCTTTTCTATCTTCATAATGTCTTTCGTATATCTCCCTTTCTCTCCTTGGACACTGCCACCGCCTTGATGTGGACCCTAATCACCTCCCTTCCCAGCTATTGAAATAGCCTAGTGGTAGGTCTTCCTAACTCACCTTTCCTCACTCTAGTCCATCCATCACTCAGCTGTCAAAGTGATCTTCCTAAAGTGCAAATCTAACCATGTCACTTCTCCCCACCATTTAATCAACCCCAGTGGCTCCCTATTGCCTCCAGAATCAAATATAAAAGCCTCTGCTGGGCTTTTAAAGCCTTTCATTACCTGGCCCCTTCCCATCTTTCCAATCTTATTATTATTATTATTATTATTATTATTATTATTATTATTATTTTACAATCGAAGTTAAGTGATTTGCCCAGGGTCACATAGCTAATAAGTATCTCAGGTCGTATCTGAACTCAGGTCCTCCTGACTCCATGCCCAGCACGCTATCCACTGGGCCACCTGGCTGCCCCTTTCCAATCTTCTTATACCTTTTTCCCCTCCACCTACTCTATGATCCAGTGGCTCTGGCCTCCTTGCTGTTCCTTGCACAAGACACTCCATGTCCCTACTACAGGAATTTTCATTGACTACCCCCAATGCCTAGAACTCTCTTCCTCCTCATCTCCACTTCCTGAATTCCCTCAAATGCCAGCTAAAATCTTATCTTCTGCAAAAAGCCTTTCCGAATCTCCCTTAATTCTAGTACCTTTTCTCTGGTCATCATCTGCAATTTATCCTGTACATATCATGTTTGTACTGCTTGTTGACATGTTGTCTCCTTTTATTTATTTACTTTTGTTAAGAAGGGAGGAAAAGGGAGAAATATATTGGAAAATATAAGTGATGTAATAAGTAAATAAATGAACAAATAAATAATATAGATAGATAGATAGATAGATAGATAGATAGATAGATAGATAGATAGATAGATAGATAGATAGACAGATTTTTAGAAAGAAATACACATGTACATTAGGAGCTGAATACTTGCCCAGGTATATAAGTTTAAATTCTGGGTCCCAAAGTTAAACCTCTAAGAAGGGAAAGTAATTTCATCCTGCTAGCCTGGAAACATCCTCACTCTACAACCCAGTGATGGGAAAGAAAGCTTCTCTTTTTTATGGGTACTCCCATGTGGTCATTGATGTTTCCCTTTTAATCATTTGCCCAGATTTTCTTGTTATGGCCAGGGCCATTTGCAGAGGAGAAGCAGGAGAGATCACTGTGTGGGGTGTGTTATGTATAGGTGCGGGGGAGAGGGGAAAGCCTGAGCCAACCAATCTGTGGGTCCATTATTCAAAACATTTTTAGATGGGAGGAGTCACTGAACTTAGGGTCAGAAGAACTGAGTTTCAGTCCTGGGTCTGACATTTTCTGTCAATATAGCCTTGGGGCAAGTCAGCTAACCATGTGTAGAATGAAGGGGGCACACTTGACAATTCTATGAACATCAAAGGCAATGGAAATAGAGGGAAATGGGCAAGAATGGAAAGAAGTTGAGGCTTGCCTCTGATGACAAGGATATCATGACTGATTGTACATGATGATTGAAAGACACTGTGGAAGGAATGAATATCATGAGGACTTAACACCAGGAAGATCTGAGTTCAAATCCTCCTCTTTGATACTTGCTAGCATGTTCTCATAGTCAAGTCTCTTAACTTCTCCAAGACTCAGTTTTCTCATTTGTACAAAAAAAATTTGTAAGATAATAATACCTTCCTTTCAGAGCTGTTGAGAGGCTTACGATATAACATATGTAAAACTTTAAAGTACCATATAAATGTCAGCTATTAATTATTATTAATTGTGATATATAATATATTATATATTATTATGATCTATGATTATTAATTATTAAGAGGTTGCTTTATTATCACCGGCTGTGAAACTGTCCCCCTCTTCTCCGCTGCCTCCACACACCACCTCCATTTCTCACAGTATAGAAGGAAGCTCTTCAAAGGACGAGGTCGGGGCAATCACTCTGACCAGGGTGTTCTGCTGGCTTTTTTTGTCCCAAGTTCACTCACTTTGAGCCTCTTCCCACAGTCCTCCTGGCCATGGAATTCACAGCAATCACTCTTCTTCAGATTCAACAGTGAGACAGAAGGAAAAATCATCTGCCAACAGGAAGATGACCAGGATGAGCATGGATCTCGGGAAAGGAGTTTGGGTGTCCCCTGTGCCATCTATGTTCAAGAGTCCTGTCCCATGATGGAGTGTAAGGGCTAAGAGGAGTTAGGGGATTCCAAAGGATATAGGGATGACTTTTGTAAAACAATGGGTGTTCATAATTGGTTCATGCTATAGGTACAGCTAAAAAAGAATATTGTTCTTTTCAAAGTCATGGTACAACTATGCATATGGGAACTGTGGTCAACAATCTATATTTGTTCATAATACACTATACAATAGACAACATACAATAATGTAAGAGCAAGTGATTGTTTGGGTGGTTTGGAAGCAACTGCAGGCTGGACTTCAAACCATGCCCTTCCACTCAGCCCATCATCCCCATTTCTTTTTTTTTTTCCGGTAAGGCAATCGGGGTTAAGTGACTTGCCCAGGGTCACACAGCTAGGAAGTGTCAAGTGTCTGAGGCCGCATTTGAATTCAGGTCTTCCTGACTCCATCCACTGTGCCACCTAGCTGCCCCCATCATCCTCATTTCTTCCCCCACTAGAAACTTGAACTCCACTCTGGGAACCACTTGATTGGTGAATGATCTTGCCTAGAAGCAGTAGGCTTCCACCTCACTTCCTGGTCACCAGCTCCGTGCTGCCAGTTTCCTCCCTCCCCTTTTCCCCCTTCATGTCTGGTCTTCCCCCTTTAGAATGTAAGCTCCTCATAGGCAGAGACTATCTGGTATTTGTATACTCAGTGATTAGCACAGTGCATGGCATGTAATAGGTACTTAATAAATGTTATCTATCAATCCAACTATCATCGATCTATCCAATTATCTATCAGAAATAATATTGTTTTTTCCAAAGATATTTTGTTATGGTAAAATAATAATGTAGCCTATAATCAGGCTGATGGGAGGCAGATGTGACTAAAGGAGGAGGAGGAGGAGCAAAGAAGTTATCCATATTAATTCTTTCTAGGAGTGCATAATTATCCCAAAGTCACTAGCCTGGGATGATTTCTGAATATATCCCCAAGTCAATTCACAGCCTTAAAGTGCAAAAATTCTAATAAGACCAAAGAGGGCAGAAGCCTGTCCAATATGTCCTGAAAAGGGGAAATTAACTGGGGAAGAAGGAGTTGCACTGAGTTTTTAGGAGCTTTTTACTCACCAAGACCTCACATCCTAATATTCCTCCAAAATACCAGACCTCCTCAGATAGGTTTAGATTGTTGTCTATTTGGTAAGCTCCAGGAAAGAAGAGTAGAATATTTGCCAGGGTGCCCAACGCGGCCAGAGGGATGAGGGTACCCCCCAGGCACTGTGCACAGTCCACAGGACGCATCCTCCTCATGAAAAGAGAGACAAAGGAAATTAATATAGAAGAGTGATCAGTCACCCTCCACCCACTCCCAACAGTGTCTCTTCAGAGGTCCTAAGCCAGAACTTCTAAATTTTCTTCTCCAATGCCATCCAAAGAGGAATATTTCAGTCTCTTAAATTCAGACAGAGCACCCCAAGCTACTTACCTGCTCCCCTGATTGTGGTAGGGTTTTTTTCATGGCCCCTCCATAAATGCGATTATGTATAGAGCAATCATTTCGACATGGAGACTGATAAAATCTGTTAATATTCCACCAGCAAAAAAGCAGGCATACAAATATGCTGTTAGTGGAGCTGTGAATCGGTCAAATCATTCTAGAAATTGACTTGGAATTGTGCTAAAAGTGATTGAAGTATTCCTAGCATTTGACTGGAGATCCCTGCTAGGCATATATCTCAAAGACAAAAAGAAAGATCCTATGTATGCAAAATACTCATGGCAGTAGTGTTTTGAGGCAGCAAAGCACTAGAAACAATGAAGATGTCCATTAATTGAGGAATGCCTAAACATATTGTAGCACATAAATGGAACAGAATATTATTGTGAATATGAAGAATTCAGCAAAGCAAGTACTGTAGAACTGGGAAAACAGGACATGCAATGAAAACGTTCATAACAAGAACAAAATAAAATAAGCTGAATGCTATACGATTATACTATTGGAACTTAGCCCCAAAGAAGAGATAAGAGGATCCCTCATTTACAGAAGTCAGGGCTACAGAGATGGAATACTGCATAGACTGTTGAGCTTGACTGATGTTTCTTTTTCTTCTGTTCCTTTTGTTCTTTTGTGTCATAAGGGATCACCCTTTGAGGAAGGGAGAGGGGAGGATACAAGCAAAGATGAAGGGTTGTAATAACAAAATATATATATTTTTTAAAGATTAAAGGAAAAAGGAAGGATGTACTTCTAATAATTTAAAGCTACATGTTTCTTCCTAAGAGAATAAGAAATTTTATTTTAAAAAGTACAATAAATAATAAAGATTATGTAATATAATATATAAGTTCAATTGAAGGAGAGAAGAAATAAATGCAGGGGTGGGGAACCTCTAGGCTACATATGGCCCTCTAATTCCTCAAGGGTGACCCTTTGACTGAATCCAAACTTCACAGAACAAAACCCCTTAATAAAAGGATTTGTTCTGTAAAACTTGGAGTCAGTCAAAAGCCCTCACCCAAGGACCTAGAAGGCCACATGTGGCCTCAAGGCCACAGGTTCCCTACAAGTGAATAAGCCATGGCTTCGAGGCTGCTGAAAGCATGCATGTATAAACGTTTTTGTGCCCTCTAAATTTCAATGACCTGTGATAAAGCCTTTACCAACTCACCTTATGAGGCTTCCCAGCATCAGCACAAAAATGGTGTCCAGTCACAAAAGAGCTCTTCAACACAGTTATTTGTTGGTATGAAAGAAAAGGTGAAAGGTGAGGAGGATATAGCCATATTCTCACATGGCAATATAGTAATATTATCCTCATGGAGCCTTCATCCCTAAGTTTCATGGTATCCTTTAGTTTATTGAGCAATTGCCTAGAGAGAATATTTTAATAAAGAAACCAAGGGGTGATAGAAAACCAGTCTTCTGATTATACTCAAATACTCTTTGAGTTGGGGTTGCTTAAAGCACACAGAGGTGAGATTTGCCCAGGGTCACTTAGCAAAGAATTGTGAGGAAATCCAAGTATTCCTAACTCTGAGTCTATCCCAGTATTCACTACACCATACCATGTCAACTTGACAAAGGCTTAAAGATATCTTTGTACCCCAAATAGAATGGTCAGGGTTTTCGGAATTTTAGATTCCCTTTTAAAATTGTATCAGAAGAAAAAAAAACAATCACAAAAGATTAAGCTAAAAGGTTACTTAAAACTTAAACTTTAAAAACTTATAACTTTAACTTAAAAGTTAAAAGCTAATACAGATTTTAAAAACAGTATTGACTGGAGATTAAACTGATATAAAATTCAAGATACTGCCATAATGGGATTGTATGGTCTATAGCTGGAATGGTTATTAGAAGCCTGCTTCATGCTGTCAGTAAATGTTAAGACACTTAGTAATGGAACTATGTAGAGCTTTCTAAATTATATATTATTTTTGTTAAATTAATATGAAAAAAATAAAATGAAAAGTTGATATTCAAAAGACTTATGTGATGTTTCGTATTAAGGGATGTTGATCAATTTTTCCCCCCCATCCATAAGTAATTGTTCTTTCCATCCCTTAGCCTAAGGTTCCTGGGAAAGTCCATGGCACCATGGTGATAGCCAGGAGGGTTTAGTGGCCTGCAAGCTACATATGAATCAGTAGTGTGAGAAAGCAGATAAGAAACCTAATTTGATAAGGCTTCATTAAGAGTAGGATAGTTTCCAGGAAGTATGTGACTCCCTCATTTTTGTGTTCAGCTCTGGTTGCCATGTTGAAGTAGGGATGTTGAAAAGCTAGAAAGTGTTCAGACAAGGGTCACCCAGATGGTTGTGTGAGGAAATTGGAGTTGTTTAGCCTGGAGAAGAGAAGCTTGAAGGGGGTAGGAGCAGGGGGCAGGTGATCACAAAGGGGAGGTAGCTTTCTGCCTTCAAAATTTAGGCTGTCACTTGGAAGAGTCATTAATCTGAGTTGTTCTTTTGGTTCCAGAAAGCGGTCAGGAGGGACGATGCATCAAAATCGCCAAGAGGCAAATTTGAACTGATGTAAAAGGGAAAAAAAAATCTTCCTAGTAATTAAAGCACTCTCTTCATTAATACTGTCAGAATCAGAGTAAGAGTCAATGAACATTTATTAAGCACCTGCTATGTGCCAGGCATTGTGTTAAGCGCTAGAAATACAAAGAAAGGCATAAGACAGTCCCTGTCCTCAAGGAGCTCACAATCTAATGTGGAAAGATAACACATTAAAAGAAATTGCATAGGGAGTTGGAGATACCAGTGCAGGGACATGGTGAAGTCCTACCATGGGAGGGAAATGACCTGGGGAGGTGTGAGTTGATTTCACCTTGTAGGATGATGAATTATAGAGATCAAAAGCTCCAGGATGGCTACAGCCAGGTGGGAAATGATGATATGAATTCCCTGGGCACCCTTCTTAAATGGTGGGTGATCTGGGAGGAATTCTCAGATGTCCACCTCCCACTCCCTCCAATTAGAGTGAAGAAAAGGCTGTAGGGACAGTGGGTACTGAGGAGATAGGAGTTTCATAGTTGATTTCATGTTGAACATTGATGAGTTTCTGGAGATCATAAAACCCAGCAGAGCAGCTGGGTGGGAAATGATGTAATGAATTCCCTGGATGCACTCCTAAAATGGCTGAGGATCTGGGAGGAATATGGAAGCAATCCCTTAATTAATACTATGTTGATATGGAGAAAGAATTTGGAAAGAGGATATAATCACATTTTCTAGTCCACATAATTTCCTACTTTTAGTGGAAACTGCATCTCTAAATGAGTAATTTTGTGATAAATCAGTGTCTCTGTGAGAAAAGAAAAGGGTCTGTCTCAGATGTGCATCAATAATACCTCATATGATTCTTTACTTCTGGGATTCTAGTATAGCAGAAAGCAAAATGTGACTTTTGCTAAGAGCATTGAAACTAGTTATGGTAAGGACAGGAGAAGTAGTTAGAGACAGTCTAACCCACCCTTTGTGAATTGGGGTGGGGGGGAGGTCTCTGCACATAGAGATAGCAGCATGCTCCCATGTCCTTGGCTAGTGTCTGCAAAATATGATTATGGAAATGTCCCTCAGCTCAGGGGCTCATGGTTCCTACACTGAGTCATTAGCTCAGAAGAGGCCTAAAATGGTCAAACAAAAAAAACAAAGGTGCATTTAAATTTGTGCCTGGTCTGGATTTTTTTTTAAACTCTCTTCAGACAGTGTCCAGACTCTAAGACAGGAGTGGGGAGCCTGTGGCCTCGTCCCCTACTCTAAGATATGCTGTTGGTGCAGTACATGGGCCAACATTCACTCAAGGTCTTTTGTTCAGCATTTCATACCTTGAGAATTCTTGAATTTATGTGATGGGCTAGCAATTACAGGGGTAAGTAGAATAGGCCCTAACACATTCCCAAACAGAAGGGGATCCCTTGAAAGTTAGCAGATTTACCCTTATTGGGGGCATTTGGACAAAGGCAAGACAACCGCCAGCAGAGACAAGTCTTTTTTTAGTTAGACGTTAGTTTAAATTGATACTGAAGTCCTTTACTGCTCTTCCTTCAGGATTCTTCCCCCACCAAACTCCAAAATTACTTTGCATTTTAACTTGTCAATATTTTGTATTTATACGTTGCTTCCCCCTAGTATCAAGGAAGTTGCCAGAAGTCCCTGTTTCCTGTTGGTCTTTATATTTCCAGTACCTAACACAGGGTTTGACACATAGCAGGCACTCGTAAAATTGAATTGAATGCTTGGTGAATTGAATTCCAGCTTTGAAATTCTATCATCCTATAGTCATAAAGATGGCGGCCATGAGCCACTGAAACAAACAAACAAAAAAAAAACCCAACAACAACAAGGAAATTTGCTGTGGTGGGATGGCACTAAATGTGAGTATCTGAAGTATTATTCATCCTGACTTGGTAATGAAAGAATAGAGCCAAAATAGTAGCCCTGGTACTGTAAGGAAAAGAGGCCAACAGCTTTGAAAGGGTGGGCCTCTGATGAGTTTGGTGTAATGAGCAAACCCTGCATCTCTGTAATGTGCAGTAGCATAGGGAAGAGTGATGTGGTAACAAGGGTCCTCCAAAAATCTGAAATTAAATGAAAACCAGAATTCTACAAACAAATATTTATGCTCCTGAACTCCAGGCATGAAATTGAAGAAAATGTTTGTCTGCAGGATTTTCTTTCTTTTCTTTTCTTCCAAAAGGTGTTATATAATCCTCTTTTCACTAAAACCTAAAGCTTTCCAGTGAAAGGAACAACACAAAAGACTGAAGCAAGCAAAGGCCACCAGCTGAAATTTAATTATATTTATTTTTCTTGTACAGGATCAGAGAAAAAAAAACCAGTACCAAACTCTGGGTACAACAGTTTGATCTGATTGGTTTGACTGCACACATTTTGTATGCATAGCCATCTAAATTAAAAATAAACACTCACACATATGTCATATAACAAAAGTAAATTAAAAAATTAAGGCACTAGAATATAAATGGATGTAGTGTATTAGGAAACAGTCTTTGTCAATCACCCCTTTTTCCCATTTAAAATTAACGTACGATGTCTTACAAACAGCATTGTGTCATCAAGTCGTGCTTCTTCTGAGAACTACATTCTACAAGTGTTACCGGAATAAAAGCTACAGGACAATTTCCCTCCTGTTCCATGTCACCAACACTGATGTAGAACTGTCCTACCCAGTAAGTAAGGATCAACTGTGTGCCCGGGCACTTTGGCATATTCACTCTGTATCCTTCCTGTACACCATGAAAATTGTAAAAAAAAAAAAAATTTCATTTCACATCTTTAAATAATGCAGTGAGACACTGCATTGATGGAATTACAAACGTGAAGGTTTTGTCCAAGAATTCAATTCAAATATCTTTTAAGTTAGAAAAGGCATGGGAAGGAATACACTTTAAAATATCTTTCCCATGTTGGTTGCAATGCAGAATTTTCTTTTAACTCATCATTGTCATTTCAAACTAAAAAGAACTGGCATTCTGGCAGTTGCTTTAAAATCTAACAAAAACTTGTAAGATAGCACCTTCTGTTTAACTTGGCAGGAGGCCCTGTGATGATAGTCATCTGAAACTCTGTACGTAAGAGTTGTTACGCTTCAAGTTTTCTAACTTTATTTTTTTTCTTCCTTCCTTCCTTCTTTTCTTTCCTTCCTTCCCTTTTCTGCCTTCCTTCCTTTCTTTTTGAAACAATGTTTTACATGCCATTAAAAGAACACTCTACTTGGCTTTATTTAAGTGATAACATAGTATTGATCAATGCTTTGCTTTATTCTGGGGAAAAATGTAATTTCCTTAATAATAAATGCTCAACTAGTTTCTCTAAAAAGAAAAGAAAAATTCACCTAATATTTAACAATTCCAACTACAGCATACTAGAAAATTCACTTCTGAAAACAGACTCTGTAAATCCCCAATGTGCTAATCATGTATTTTTTTTAAAAAGGCGATGAGGGATAGCTATTTCAGATTTAATTTGATAACCTGAAAACAAGTCTTAAAGAGAAAAAAAAACTTTAAAAAAATACAGTAACACTGCTTAGCCTTGTTAGGTCCCTTGTTCATTCAAAAAGATTGTTCCCCTCTTTTTGCAATTATTTCTAGCAAAAGAGAGAAAAAAACCAGTGCTCCCTTCAATTTGGTAGAGAAAGAAATATTGCCATCCAGCTGCTCTCTTCGCCCCCCACCCCCACCCCTTGGGTGTGGGAATGAAAAAGTGGGACAGAGAGTGAAGAAAATAATGAAGAAAAGGATGGGGGTGTTGGAAAAGGGAAGAGAGAGATTAAAAAGGGGGAGAGATGGAGATCATCAGACAAACATAGAGGGGAAGGGAGGGAGCCAAAAAAAACAAAAACAAAAACAAAATCCAACTACTATTCATTTAGAGAAAAAAAGTTTCTTTGTTTTGGGAGTAACAGTAGTTTCCTCCTCATCCTTCTCATTCCCTCTTTTGTCTTTCTCTCCAATGTAAAGTGCACCAAAGTAGTTTTTTTTTTTAATATAATGGGAAAATCTTTTGGTATAAAAGTTATCATAGGAAACCATTTTCATAAAACTCTGTTGACATTTTCTATTTGGGCACCTATCACATGAAGGTCTTCTCACCTCTGGGGCATGATTACGAGTCTATCCCTATCCATTTCCTGATTTTTCAACCTTTCCATATATTTTCCATAACATTGCTACTTGTACTCTGACCTTTTCACCTGCTTTCTTCCCAACAAGATAAAAGATAGTCTGTACTTCTTGTATCTTCTAATACATAAGAAAGAATCTGAGTTAACAGACCCTGAACACTTAATGAGTGATCAGCCTCCTTTCTTTGCTAGAAGCTGAAAAGTCCTAGCTCAGAGACTGGAATTAATAATAATGCCTTTAAAAAGTAATGCATTTTGTTAAATTTTAAAAAAAAAAACAGATTAAATTCATAGATTATAAATAATGACAGTTCAGAAATATTAAAACATTTGAGGACGTCATTGGCATATTCGGGGCACTGAATGCTAGCTATACTTTATGCACTCTCAGTCCTAAACATCGCAAAAAGAAATTTCTCTTGATTACATGAGAGGTATTGAGTATATGTGATATCATGCCTTTTATACCAATGGTAGCAAGCAAAAAGGTTTGGATAATAGAATTAGCAGACAGGGAATAGTTTGACTGAATTCAGAAACATTTGCCTCCACCATGTACCCTCCCCATAAAGCAGGCATTTGTTTACAGGTCATTCAGTGATCGGCTCTTTCCCGATTAGAGTTTCATTGATACTGTCTGTTTCAATTCATTATTGTCTTGGTGACAAGACCAACAAGGCTTACAAAAAAAAAAAGGCAACTGGATATTCTATCGTCAAGTTGTAAATTGTGCCACACTTTTCTACCCTGATATATTTTAGGATTAATCTCCCAAAATCAAAAAAACAATTGCCACAGATATATCCAAAAAAAAACAAAAAAATTCTGTTGCTAATTATAATCAGTTACAAAATTACAGTGAGTGCTTAATAAAAATAAACATCAAAATCTGAGTTGCATTTTATTGTAATTGCATGTCGTTTCATTCCACTAGTTTGTTTTTCTAGTGGCAGTGGTGGTGGTGGTTAGTACCAATGTGGTCTCTTTTATGGCATCTTTAGAATAAAACAGTTACTAGACAATCTGCTACCGTTGAAATTGGAATTGTTCATTATCTGGAAGCTATACAGTAATATACTGGAGGATAAACTATAACAGTACTGTCTGTGCCTCTGCAAATATAGGATAATAATAATTATTATTATCATAGCCAGCATGGATTTGAAGCTACTCTGCATTCCTTACAGTACTATTTGACTAACAATACAATGATTTCTTGAAAGCTCAAGTTAAATAGAGTTTTCTTTTTTTTACTTTTGTAAAGCATTTGGTACTATTGTCATAAATATAGCTACTGACCTACACTTTGGGACTAATCTGGTGCAGGGATCCTGGCTGAAGCTGTCACATCAAACTCTGTTTTTCTCTTGTTTATTGGCTTTTAATTTAAACTAACACCCACAAGCTTCTTCATGGGCCAATGAAAAGAGAGAAAAGATGAAATAATTCTGCAATTTCTCCCTGAAATCTGGGCTACAGGCATACCTCAGCCAGTATGCTGTAGCAAACAGATACAGTTTAAAAGTAAAGAGAAAATATACATTTATATATTTAGACTTAAGTTCTTGTCAATCAAATCCAGACAATTTCAATTGACCACATTGAGTCATTGGAAATCTTGAGTACTTTCTGGGCTCCATCTCTCTTCCAAAGAGGAGACGGAAATGGAGGATGTGGGGGGTGAGCTGAGCCAGAGCCTAGAGCTCAGATTACAACCAGGTGAGGAAGGGCTCATTTTTGTTAAGGACAGACTCCACGTCGTTGAAGATCGGGATCAGGTCGTCCGACTCCAAAGTCCCAAGATCAACATTTGTTCCAGGAAGACAGTCAAGGAAGTCGGGGAAACGGGTCTGCTGGGCAGTTAGAGTCATCGGTGTCTGTCCTACATTTTCCCCTATGAGAGAAAGTAATTGTCAACAACAGCAAAGCTTCCTAAAGAACAAAATTTAATAAAAACCTAAGTTCAATTTTTACTAGAGCTGTATTGACATCTTTTTATCATGGCATAGTAATTATAGAGCTGAAGACTTAGCGTCAGTAAGACCTGGGTTCTAATCTCACCTCTGGTACTTCCTAACTGTGCAATCTTGGGCAAGTCACTTCATGTCTGCAAGCCTCAACTTCCTTACTTTGAAATGGACATAATAATAACTCATGGTAACTACCTCATATGGTTGAGAGGCTCAAAAAGGAAAATGAATATGAAAAGAGCTACATAAACGTTAGACATTATTATTATCGTTCCCCTCAAAAGAAGTTAAACTTCTTAAGGGTGCTAGAGTGCGGTACAGTGGGAAGAGGACTAGCTTTGGTGCCTTGAGGATCTGAGTTCAAGTCCTGACTCTGTCCCCATCAATCTATATGACAGTGGGTGTTTCATTTAACACCTCTGGGTCTCAGTTACCTCATCTGTAAAAAAAGGCATTGGAATAACAGTCCTCTATGATTTTGTCTTCATGTTCCCAGGACCTAGCAAAACATCTTGTACATATTTTTATGTTTATTAAATGATTTTGAATAAATTAATTCCCTATATTAATGGAGCAAATATTATGTCTGCATCACACTAAAATCAGACCATCAGTGTTGTTCACAAGAGCTCCAGAGTATGTATATCAATTTTGTGTGAAATATATCTCAAGAGACACAGCCGTAAATGGACGGATGAAATCAAATGAAAACCCAAGAGCATGACATAATAAATGCCCAGTGGGTATCAGCCCTGTGTCTAGTCCCTTCAACTATTCATCTCTTTTTCTCAGTATTGACAAAAGATAGTAAAAATTGCCTCCTGGCACATCACCCTTAAAAAGTTAGGGATGAGTGGGAGGTCACTGAATAAGTCAACAAATGTTAAGTGCCAAGTGCCCTCATTTTCTTGGTCTCTGAGGACCTCTGCGGGCTGTGACTACTGCCACCCTACGCTTGCTTTCTTCTTCCCCCTCCCATTCATTTCCCCTCCACCATTTTCCATCTGCCACTGCTACAAGGTTCTGGAAGAAGAAGGTGAGGCTAGAACCGTCCATACTGTGTGTACAGCTCAAAGCAGATCAGACTTTCATTCAAGGAATTTTTCTTTAGGCTGACATATCTCTCTTATTAATAGATGAAGCATTAAAATGTCAGCTCCTTGAGGACTGGGACTGTCTCATTTTCATTGTTGTAGCTCTAGTTGTACAGTGCCTAAAATATAGCAGGAACATAATAATTGCTTAATGAATTGAATCAAATATCTCCACCCATCTGTTCTCCAAATAAATGTAACATCAGTCTTGAAGTCTCCATAGTGTACCCACCCCAAAATCCACAGAAAATTTTATACTGGTGAACTGGAATCTGAGGCACTGAGTGAAGTTCATTGGAACCAGAGATCAGTCAGTTTCATCTCCAGACATTTGCAGTCACTTCCAACTGCCTAACAGACTTCCTGAAACCAGATCCCACTAAAATGTCACTTGACTTCCAGAAAGCCAGTCCGAATAAATTGAGCAAGCTCTTCTTCCCTTCTTTATTTCATCCACTGAGATGTTTACCAGGCTCAAGCAGAGACTTCTAGTTCCTAAGATTTCCACTTGGCCCTAGAACTCTGTGCTCCAGATGGCCTATTCTGAGATCTACAAACATCTTCCTTATTACCTCGACCATACAGTCTCTTTCAAAATTCTCCATGGTAATTCATTAAGCACCTTTAGGAAGTGTTTTCTTTGGGGGTGAAACAAGTAAAAGGTCTTAGTGGTTTGGGGCAAGCTAGGTTTAACATTATTTCAGTTTGGGCAGGGAATAAATATTATTGTAATAACAGCCTCCATGATGGAATAACCATGATGCAGTTTAGTGGCATGCATTCTTCTTCCCTACTGACTAAGGTTAACTCCACGTTCAATGAAATTTTAGCTTCACAAACTGTGTGTCGGCAGGCAGGGAACCAGGTTGGCTGTCCACTTAAAACACCATCAAAACCCTACTATGATGGCCCATTATGGTGCAAATACGGTGCTGGCTTCTCCAGGGTGTGTACAGTCTGATGGGCCTTGCTGGCCTAGAGAAGATTTCAGTATGGGCCTCGTGTTAGTCTACATATCTGTTATCTACAAACCAGACTAGCTTAAATTCAGGGAGATACATAATCAGGTTGACCCATAGAGTGCCACAGAAACTCTTGGAAACATCTACTAAGCTTAATAAAGGAGACGCAATATCTTGGTGGAGGGAATATGAGCAGTGCTGAAATTTTAAGTCTCGGTAGTGTGGAAGTCAAAATCCTGACTATAATAGAAATAAAGAAATAATTTGCGTGCATCTATATTATTAAGCTATCACTTATTAGTGCTTTTTGAATCCTCTTGTGCTTGTACTAAAAGACACTGGTATGGTATATTTCATAACCAGCCCTATCTTGGAAGCATGATGTGTTACAAACATATGAAAAAGCATAACATAGAAACATCAAAAACATCCAAGACCGACAATGAACTGTAGAGCAAAAACGCTTCAAATAACCATCTTCTCCTTCCTACCTGTGTCCATCTCATCTACGTTGCCGAGGAAATCTTCAGGAGTTGTCGGGATGCTGTAGCATCCTAAGCCTAGGCCACTGTCTGTGCTCTGCTCCCTGGAATGGTAAGGCCCACTACAAATGAAAATAGGGAAAACTCCTCAGTGTCATCCCTCTGCACAGAATCTCAATGTCAAATACACAAAGGCAAAAGAACAAAACTGGAGCTTTATAAACCAGTTTAAAAGTCATTGTGCCCAACTTTCAGCCCATGTTTCTCCTTTTCCAGTTCAAGATAAAGTTCCCCAAACTTATAATTCAAATAAGTGATAATCAATAAGTAAATGTAAGAGCCTTTCTCAAGGGACAAGAAAAATTGGTCATTCATACTAATCATTGTTCTATTTTATACACAAATTCATTTCTTTTCATTTCAATATAACTTGAGCTTTTAAAAAATGTTTTTTCTGTTTTTACTGTTGTTTCAATTTGTTTTTTTTAATAACACACAATTTCTCTATAAAAGTGATTAATATTCTGGTAAAAGAAGACAATAGGGACAAAAAAATTAAATGAAAAATAGGTCAAACATGACCTATGTTTGTAGTTGAAAAGGATGCAGAATCACAGAATCTCAAGACTTATAAGAGATTTTTGAGGTCTACTGGTCAATAGGCATTGCTGTATTTGAAAATGACCAACTTTCCTTTCAACTATGCCTTTCTTTTTTACCCTTTCCTGGTGATCTTATGTAATATAACACGCTATCGTCTTCTTGGTTATAGACATTATTCGTTGGCATGATTATGATTCCATTTTACTGCTCAATTCAACAAATATATAGAGTATATACCATGTGATAGTCACTGAAAATACAAAGACCCAACCCCCCCCCAAAAAAAGTCCTTAATCTCAGCTTATATTTGGTGGGGATAGGGGGAGGGGGCAGGGAAGAAAAACACAGCAAGTTCACAAGAAAATTCAACAAACACATGGCAATATTCCCTCCACTGAAAACGTAAGAACTTTTCTATTCTTATGGTCTTGACCCTACAATGGAAGGTCTCACCAGTTGTTTACATCCTGTAACCAATATGAATGTGAAATTTAAATGGAAGTGAACTTCCCTCCTCTCCAACCAAGTAGGCCCAAAAAGAAAAGAGACTTTACCCATTGAGAAAAGGATCCGAACTATTATTTGTTATTGGTCTGATTTCCTGGGCCATGGCAGGTGTGTTTCCAGCAGCCTGAACAGAGGCCATTGTCTCTGATTCCATAGGAAGTTGTCGACATAGAGCGGCTTCCTGCACAAAGGTGAAAGTCAGTGGAGGAAATGAGTTAGCCATATTCCCCGACAAGACAGCACAACATACTATATAAATGAAAAGGGATTCTAACCAAGCAGGGACAAAGCTGTTTCTACTACATAAATGAATAGGAGTTACAAACAAGCAGAGACAAAGCTTCTTCTTTCTCTTGCTTCAGGATTCATAATCATTAGCATTACTTCTCAACAACCCTTCCATAAAGGCACTCTCGATGCAAATCTAGGCCCCATAGTCACATAATTACACACAGGCAGCAATGGCTGGACCTCTACCCCCATGGGTCCAACTGCTCAGGTATCCCTGTCTTAGAACTCCTACTTACTAAGGCCATTTCCAGAGATGGCTTTCCAGATCAAATCCAAATCAAAGCTCCATTCTAAGTAGTAGAACATAATTCTTTGAAGGCAAAGGTGATTGTTCTTTTTTCCTTTTGTCTCTATCTCTAGCATATAGTAGACACATAATAGCTGTCGATTAAATTGAATGGAATTTGATTGGATCAGATTGAAAGCCATTAATCTCTTTTCTATCCAAGCTATATACAAGCCAGTAAAACTTTTAATTCATGACAGAATAACCCTAATGGCCATATCTGCTTCATGACATCAAAACACTATCATTAGGTCACTAAAAATAAAATAAAATAAAATCAATGGCTGATTTTTAGATTGAATTAACTGAATGGGTATGATGAAGACCAATCTGGGAGTCCTGCTTCGAGTTACACTTTTGGGGCAATTGAGGCCATAAATAACTATTATAAAAGTAGCACCACTAAGCTACACTGTTCTCTTATGGAGAAAGAGTTACAGAAGCCAAAGAAAGGATTTATATTCCAGGAAATGTCAAGCGACACAAAGGGACAGTAAGAGTGATAGACTAAGAAACCAACAATCTGGGTTCTAGTTCCAAGGGCCCCTGCTCTAGACAGGTTACCTTGGACAAGCTGTTTAATGCCTCTGGACTCAGTTTCCTCATCCATAAAAATGGGGTTTGACTTGATGACCTCAAGTCCCTTCTAGCTCTGAAATGCTTTGATGCCATTTTTACAAAAGTGACAGGATATTAAAATCATGTGTTTATATGTAAATTCTATAGTAGTAGTAGTGGTAGTAGTATGAGTAGTAATAGCATTTATTTAGTGCTTTATTGTTTATAAAGATCTGGACAAATATCTCCTTTTATCCATACAACAATCCTTAGAGATGGGTGCAATTACTATCCACATTTTACACATAAGGAAGCTGAGAAGCATGGGCAAATTGTTTAACGCCTCTGGATCTCAGTTCCCTCACCCATAAAAACAGAATGTTCGGCTAGATGGTGTCAAGTTCCTTTTAGCTTTGAAATGCTATAATTCCATTTTAACAAAAGTAAAAGAATGTTGAAATCATGTGGCTATCTGCAAATTCTATATAATAATGGGAAGAGTAGTTGTAGTAGCAGCATTTATATAGTGCTTTATGACTTATAAAGAGCTGTACAAATATCTCATTTTATCCATACAACAACCCTGGGAAGTGAGTGCTATTATTATCCCTATTTTACAGATGAGGAAACTGAGGAAGGCAGAAGGTAAATGACTTGTCCAGGGTCACACAACTAATAAGTACCTAAGGCCAGATTTGACCTTGGCTCCCTGGCTAGGTCCAACACCCTGTCTTATGCCACCTAGCATCCAAAAGTCAAAAGAACACTATAAACACGAATTTTTTTTCTAACAAACAGGGGAAAATACTATTGATTTATTCCTGTTACCAAACCCTAGCTTAGAACAGCCTATTTTTATCTCTCTTGTCTACCGATTTTCTTCAATTGATACTACCTTACATCCCGAAATCATTATTACAGCCCAAAGTCAGCCTATTTCAATGGTGGTCAAACATGGTTATACCACAAATGATACACAACAATGTTCTTATTAGAAAGTGGTTTCCATGTAGCCAGGGCTTGTTGTAACCACATGCTATAAATGACTTCTCTTTCTAACTGCATTCATTTTATCACTCTGCAAGCAATAGGAACCTCATTAATTGAGCCTTTCAGACACTAATTTTTCATAATAAAAACCGATGAGATAGGGATGTGTGGAAATTGGGCAAAAAAGGTGCTAGAGAAAATTATCATTTATTAGGAATCCAAATAACTGGAAGACTGAAAGAATCTAAATTCTGGTCTGTGATCTATTTCTATGGAGAATGAAATAAATTACAAGTAAATATTCTGATATTAAATGACTGCCTTATCTGTGGCATAGTGGATAGAAAACTGGCTTTAGAGTCAAGAAGACCTGGGTTCAAGTCCCACCTAGGATGCATACTGGCTATGTGACGCTGGGCAAATCATTTAAACTTCTTTGCCCCAAGCAAAGATAAAGATATGCATTGGTAAAAGAAGCTTCTTCATTGGGAGTTCCCTATAATAAAGACATCACAGGTCCCAGTCTATCCTATCCAGGTGGGAAGCCATGTTAGGTTGGTGGGGAAGAAACAAAGAGGAAAAAAAGGCATGGTCACTGACCTCACATGGCATTTATGGTATAACAGAAAGACCAAAAATAGTAACTTTCATGCTGTTAGGTCAGTATAATTTCAGCCCAATTTCCCATAATGTCTAGGTCTATGGCTTTGTATGGCATTCTACTTAGTGGGTATAAAAAGAAGGAAAGAGGGGATGTGCTACTATCCATCCATCTTCACGTTGTGTTTCCTGCCTCCAGTTTGGTTTTCCTGCTCCTGCCTGGGGTTCTACACTTTGGTGAGAGGTCTCTATAAGTTACCAAACCCAAACTCATTAATCTACTACTGTCCTGCCATCTTGATCACCCTTTCACCCGCCCCAAATTCCTCCCCTCCCCCCATCCCTTCCATCTCCAGCTTTGGGAACAATAATTGATCAATACCACCATGCCCTATGGTTCCACTCAACCACCCTTTGACTCCCCAGTCCAAATCACTCCTCTCTGGCCATTATTTTCCCTTATGTGTGCTATCTTTCTTTATTAGTATATAAGCTCCTTGAGGGCAGGGAGTGCTGTTTTGAATTTACCTCTCAGCTCTTACCATAACATTTGGCACATATGCTTAACAAATGTTTCATTCATGTACTCACTCATCCATTCATGTGCCTAGCCCTGATATGAGATGCCCTGGATCAACTCTCATAGCTCTCCATTCTCTTCCCTTAATTATAATGTTCCCTTTAGATGAAGTTTTTGTTTTGAAGATATATTTAAGTTCAATTATCTGCTTGAATCAGGTTTCCAAATAGCCTTTACCCTTATTAACGATGTCCTCATTAGAGATGATACTACATTTGGCCTGCAGAGGGCGCCCTTTATTAATATAGAGTGCTTGCCTGCAAGGCTCGTCAAAGATGACCCATTAAAATAGGGAGGAAACTTTCCCCAGTAACAACGATCCTAAAGAAACAGCTGGGCTCATTTATCAATCAGTAAACACTTATTAAGCACCTACTGTGTGTCAGACACTGTGCTAATTACTAGTTTAGCTAGTCTCTCAGAGCTGGCAAGGTATTGTTCACCACAGATGCTTTTTCAGAATTTCAACACTAGACCATTTTCTGGAAGTCATTTAACCTCAGCCTGAAATTCTGACCTGAATTAACTAATAGAGAAAGCCTTTGGAGCAGTATTCCCCATTCCTCCGTGGTGTTTACTCCACATTTCCCACTTGCCTGCAACAAACTCCTGGGCTTTGAACCCAACGGCTTGTTTTAAACGGAGTCCAAAGGTGTGGATTGGCCAGACGTAGTCATGGAGCCTTCATTTTCTAATAATTCTTTATCACATAGCTTTTCAGAGTAGAGGTATTACTACAGAGCAACAAGACTGACATTTTTATACCAAAATGACCCTTGTCCTCTTTCAAGACACTACGCTCAATTATTCCAAAGAATACTAAACTCACTTCCCAGGGCCATGTCCACCAATGGTCAGCCTACCAGAGACAAGACCCTTTCCTGCAACCCAGCTGTACTGGTATCCTTGCTGCTCCTCACGCAGGACAGCAGCACAAATCCCATTTTCAGCTTTCCCTAGCTGCTAGTGCCCGCTCCTCAAGTCGTGACCCCATTTGGGGTTTTCTTGGCACAGATACTGAAGTAGTTTGCCATTTCCTTCTCCAGCTAATTTTTTCAGATGAGGAAACTGAGGCAAACAGGGTTAAGTGACTTACCCAGGACCACACAGCTAGTAATTGTCTGAGGCCAGATTGGAACTCAGGAAGATGAGTCTTCCTGATTCTAAGCCCAGTGCTCTGTGCACTGTGCCACCTAGTTGCCTTCTGAGATTGCCTTCCACTGAGTCTAGAGAGACCTTATATGTGCCTAGTTATTTACATGTTGTCTCCTAGAAAGTGAACTCCTGTACCTTTGCCTTTCTTCGCATTCTCAGCCCTTAGCACAGTGCTCAAATCATAATAAGTACTGAATAAATGTTTATTGACTGACTGACAATGATACTGCCAATACTTAAAAGAGTTTTGGAACTCAACATTTGCAAGTATCTTCAGGGACCATTTATGACCCATAGAAGTCTCTCATGTTGGAGGCAGAGCTTGTTTTGAATACTCTTGGGTTGATCACCTACTGTAGTCACCACATTGACAACAGATAGTTTTTGGCAGCTTCCAAAAATCCAGCCAGCCTCTAAGGAGTGGAGCGCTAGACTTAAGAGACATGGATGACCCGAGTGCAATCCCAACTCTGGCACTTAATAGTTGTGCGACCGTGAGTTAGTCCCTTAACTTTTTTGGGTTTCAGTTTCCTTGTCTGTAAAATGGAAATAACAATACCTGAGGTACCCGCTTCTCTGTTGTGAGGTTCCAGTCAGATAAGGTACTTTATAAGTTTTGTAGGATCATATACATTTCAGTTATGATTATTGCTCCTGTAAAAGAATGGGCCACAGGCTATGAGAGCAATTCTTACTACCTGATAGTTTGAATTATATATAG